CTGGAGACCAAGCCCTGTGAGGAAAGGCTGAGGGACTTGGGAATGTTTAGTCTGGAGAAGAGGAGGTTGAGGGGGGACACGATTACTCCTTTGAAAGGCTGCCACTTAGAGGAGGGCAGGGAGCTGTTCCTGTTGGCAGCAGATAATGGGTTTAAATTAATGGGTTTCAATTAAGGGTGGGAAGGTACCAGCTGGATATTAGGAAAAAGGTTTTTACAGTAAGAGTTGTACCACAGTGGGATCAGCTGCCTCGGGAGGTGGTGGTGAGCTCCCCCTCACTGGCAGTCTTTAAGCAGCGGCTGGACAAACCCTTGTCAGGGCTGCTCTAGGCTGATCCTGCATTGAGCAGGGGGTTGGACTAGATGGTCTCTGTGGCCCCTTCCAACTCTGTGATTCTGTGATTCTACCTCATGGTGTTGTTTTGAGGATAAAATGGAGGACAGGAAAATGAGGTTGCAAGCTGCTTTGGGTCCCCACTGTCGAGAAAAGTGGGGTATAAATATCTAAATAAATAAATAAACCTCCACAGATGTTGTTGCCTAGGTTGTGCCAACTCCCTCAACTCATTATTGTATAACCTCTTGACCCCCATCCCCAACAAAAATGCAGGCTGAAATATAATGCGACAGTGCAAGGCAACTATGTGCGGGCGCTGCATCTCAGAAACTGTGCTGCTTGTGAAGTGTTATGCTTTTCATTTTATGATCCTTGTTCGTGTTTTGTATCCACCCCCCTCGGTCAGTTCTTTGGAACCCCTGACCTAGAGATGAATGTGTTCAGAATGTCTTTGCACGTCATTTGATACCCAGAGGCGTCCTAGCTTTACATGCCGTGCACCTGTGTCAAATTTGTTGGCAGGTCCATTTCTGATCTGTTTGTGACCTTCTTCTTCCTCCCTTAGGACTCTAATCCTGGCTCTAGGAGCGAAAACGTGATCAACATCAACCATTACGCTACCAAGAAAAGCGTGGCCGAGAGCATGCTAGACGTGGCACTGTTCATGGCCAATGCCACGCAGCTGAAGGCAGTGCTGGAGCAGGGGCCTTCCTTCCACTACTATGCCACCCTGACCACCCTCATCAGCATTTCCCTCTTCCTCCAAGTGGTGATTGGGATCCTCCTCATTGTGATGGGTAAGGCGGTTTCTGAGGACCTTGATGTTCTACCAGGAGCCTTAGATATGAACATACTACCAAGTTCCCCAAAACCTTCCATATACACAGACCAGGGATAACTCCTTTTTTAAAAAGAGCTATTTCCCTTTTCACTGGGCAGGGATTATTTCTCTTCATTAGAAGCAATTTCGCTTTTTGGCTTGAATGGGCATCCTTATTGATCCACTCACTTTGGTGTACACTCAGTTTGGTGTAGTGGTTAAGTGTGAGGACTCTAATCTGGAAGAACCGGGTTTGATTCCCTACTTCTCCACTTGCAGCTACTGGATGACCTTGGGCAAGCCATAGTTCTGACAAGAGCTGTCCTTGAAAGGGTACTTCTTGAAAGAGCTCTCTCAGCCCCGCCCACCTCACAGGGTGTCTGTTGTGGGGAGGGGAAGGGAAAGGAGTTTGTAAACCGCTCTCAGACTTCGAGTGAAGGGTGGTGTATAAATCCAATCTCCTCCTCCTCCTGCTTCTTTCCCAGTCCTCAGTCACTGCTAAACCATCTCTTCTTCAGCTATCAGTTCCCAACTGTCATCTCCTAAGGGATGCTCTCCACAGAATTCCATTTGAACCACCTGTCACTCAAAGGTTCTCAAACTGTGTGAGGCATTAATCCTTGACAGTCCATCAGAGTCCCATTTTAAGAACACTGTCCTGGGATTAAGCCCCACTGAATAAACTTGAGTAGGATTCTGAGTAAACCCCTCTTAGGATTGCTCTCTGAAAGTTGCACATACTTGCTGTGTTCTTGATAAAAGGAGAGAGGTTTACCTATCAGTTTTGTAGTTTTGTTTAGTTATATGAACTAGGTTTTATGTGCTGCAACTAATGTTGCCAGCCTCCAAGATGGGGCAGGAGCTCTTCTGGAAAAGGCACTGAACCTCCCAATGGCTCTGGGATTTGGTGTGTGCATACATAGATTTTAGTAAAAGGCGAAAGATTTATGCGAACTTTTGGTTATTAAACTAAATTCCCATGGCTACTCTAGTAGTTTCTTGGACCATTAGCCTTGTTCATGCAGTGAAATGAGGTATATAATGGCATCAGGTTAACTCGCTGTGGCCTCCTCTGTCATGTATTTTGATTTCTCAGCATTGCTGCTGCAGTATAATAGCTAAACCTGTGAAATGCAAGTTGGGATGTCTCTGGCTCAGATCTCATCTTGGCCACAAGTTTATTAGGTGGTCTCAAGGCCAGCCATGGTCCACCCAGACCCACATGTACCGGCCTACCAGGGCTATTGTGAGGACTATGCAAACTGCTCTGAACTCTCCAAATGTGTGTGTGATGAACTATGAAAAACCACTCTGTTGCCAGGGCAGTTAATAAATTTAAAACATACGTAATATTTGTTTATTGTTTATTATTTATTAAATTAGACTTATTAGGCTGCCCTTCCCTGCGAGCAGGGCTCAGAGCGACTTACATCAATAAAAATACAATAATACTAGACTTAAAGCACCATTAAAATTGAACAACCACAGTACAGTACAATCCTAGACGGAGATAAATTTCCAATAGCTGCTTGCCCCCTGTGTTAAGTAAAATGCAGAGTGGGGGGTGGGTGGGATGTGAGAGCACCAGGCTGTCGTCGTCCTCAGCCAAATGCCTGGGGGAACATCTCTGCCTTGCAAGCCCTATGGAATGGTAACAGATCCCGTAGGGCACAGATGTCCTCAAAAAACACATCTTAAAAAAATAAGACCAAACAAAAAGACATTAAAACAAAGGTCTATTTGGTTTGGGACTGACATACCGGAAAGACTGCCTAATCCCTTATGAACCTGCCTGACCACTATGGTCATCTTCGGAGGCCCTGCTTTGGGTGCCCCCACCTTCTGAGATTAACATGTGGCAATCTGGGAGAGGTCTCTCATGGTCATGGCACCAAACCTCTGGAACTCCTTCCCCAGCGAGATTTGTCTGTCCCCCTTGTTGCCATACATGTATCATGTATGTTTTAAACTGTTAGCCACATTGGCCATTGTAAGGGCAGAAAGCTGGGGTATATATTCTAACAACAACAATTTGAAAAGAACGTGATGAGGATGATGTGCATTTAGGAGGAGGTTTGATTCCAATGGTTTTATAATATGATTTTTATCAAAAGAACATAAGAATATAAGAGAAGCCAATGTTGGATCAGGCCAATGGCCCATCCAGTCCAACAGTCTGTATCACACAGTGGCCAGAAATACCAGGTACCATCAGAATGTCCAGCAGTGGGGCCAGGACACTAGAAACCCTCCCACTG